ATATACAATTATTAAATAATCAACTGAAAGACATCTTCGAAGTAGTTCAGTTATCTAGATTAGGGATCGTATCGAAAGCTATTCTTAATTATAACGAAACTAAATCCATATTAACCACACTAGAAGATCAAAATATCTCAATAAGTAGTACAGATCAGATTTATGAATTTTTAAGCATCCAAACCTACCACGAAAAATCAAAAATCGTATTTGTTATAAAAACTCCAATTTTTAAACAAGGGTACTACCAATATGTTAAATTCGAAACTTTACCAAAAGATCGTAAAATTATATCAACATTGTTCAACTCAGCTGTTTTGGGTAAATTTATGACGTTAGTAGTAAATCATGAATGTTCTATCATAGAGAAATATAGGATCTGTAAAGTCCAGGAGCTAACCAATCTAACAGGCGATGGCTGCATCGACAACGCTTTAAGAGGAAACAACGCATCCTGTCCTTACGAAGAGCAACGAGACGAGATGGACATCAAACAGATAAACGAACATACGCTGATAATAAGGAACGCCATCCAACCTATCCTTCTAACCTCGAGCTGCAACATTAAAACTCGAAAAATGACCGGAACTCTACTGATCAGCTACAATAATTGCACTATTTCCATCAACGGAATCAACTACGATGGCAGAAAAACCGTGGATCATCATGACATGAGAATAATCTCAACCATTGGAATAGACTTCCAAGCTACAACCATCCTGAAGAAAACTGACCTACATCAAGTCAACTTGCTAAGAATTGAAAATCTCAACCACATCAGTCAACTGAGAAAGGACCACACAACCCTGGAACACACCACAACTGGACTTCTCACCCTGTTTGCAGTAATAATTATCGGGTTAACTATTTGGAATCTAAGAGGACAATGTGGAACAAACATCAATCTACAAGAACCAACAATAGAGGTAAAAACATGTAAAACATTAAATACGCAATCTTCTTTATCTTCAGACGAAGAACATAAAGAATCCAACCCACCTTCTTTCGAGGGCTCACCAAACTCGATCCAAGTGATATATGAAAAAATTCATCTGGATAACAAACAGCAGCCGAGATTTCAGTTCTAGCATGCACGAATCATCAAAAACGTCAGGAGCACAAATAAGATTCGAGACGAATCTTCTCTAAAAGAAGGTTTAGTTATCAAACGTATCTCCAAATAAGATTCGGGACGAATCTTCTCTAAGGGAAGGTCTAGTTATCAAACGTATCTCCAACCCTACGTAAGCAATATCATCATATTAGCACCGGCTAAGTCCAAAAGCTAATTGGTCAACACATATCGATCAGCTCACCAGCATATTGCTACATCAACATTTCAAGTGCACCGAGTATCATACTGCAGCATAAACACCTTGCGTGCAGTAAACCCAACGAGGGTATTGACATCATAAACCCATCGAACCATCCACGCATCGAGTCAGCATTCTAACCAGAGCGAAGTCCATCGACCACACGACATCGCTACCAAGGAGGACGGAAACCAGAGTCAGCAGAATGGATCACCACAGCCACGCGCCTTTGATAGGAACCATAGCTTAGCTTAGGGAATATTTCAATTAATAAAATCAGTCTTAATCCATCAGTTACTTGAGTCAGTTCCTTTTTAAAAACGCATCCGCGGTCCCCTAACTTTTAATTTATATACTGCGTATCCCTGTAATTGTAATTGTAATTGTAATTGTTCAGTGCATAGGCTGTGCCTTCCGCTAAGAAGGCTTATCTAGGGACCAACCCCCTAGTCTATACACCTACTGTCCTTCCCGTTGCACTCGTCAGTTCGTGCGATACTCTAGACACACATGGGTGGTCGTATCCGGGTCCTCCCCTGGGTAGGCTCGTGTCCGTCCAGGTTCTGGTACATTAACTTATCTATATGCATGGTAATTATACTTTTAAAACTCACCTTTTGATTATAATGTCGAAACTGAAACTAAATAAAGGTTAGCGATCCATATAAGGTGTGTGCTGCGACGGAGTAGTAATTGAAGGAAATGAGGTTCTGATGTGAAGTATAGGTAATTCTAAAATAGGTAAATCAATTAATCATTAGCTGCTAACAGTTACTAATAAATGGGTACGATAAATCACTCATCAATGAGTATTGCCACTCCCACTGACAAATGGGCAAAACCTTAATCATAAATGGATATTCGATTCCTACCGTGTATTTAAAGTAAAGTTAGGATCTTATCAAGCAAGCACACACCTTTTACGATTCTTATCCTACTTACGGTTTCCTGCACATACGACTTTTCCTAGATACAAGCTTCGTCCAGTATACATTGGCTATCTCCAACCGGCATGATCCTTTCTGTCTGCTTCCTCTTGCCGGTGCAAGTTTAATTCTTCTTTTCTTGTTCGAATTTTCTTTTTCTTTTATTGATCTTCTGGTCGTGTTCCCATTTGTCCTCAGGCAGTTAATATTAGTACATGATAGGAAGAAAGAAAGAAATAGAACAAGTTAAGTGTGAGCCGCATGCATTGGTTACTTATTTGGGTCATGGTGTTGTCTTCCCTATTTATTTGCCTCTATTCGCTCTCATATCGCAACGTTTAACTCTGGATCAACAATAGAAAAGGGCCCATCAGCACTCGCAAACAAACCGCTCCAAAGCCCCCCACTCACAAAGCGAAGGCCACCCACGCAAACCAACACCATCATCGGATAGGGGAAACTTCCACCTACACGAAGATGGTGTTGGCCTGCGTGAGCAGCCTCCGATCCGTGAGGAATGGGCTTTGGACGGCTGCCCACAAATGCCGATGGGCCCCCCTCCATTGTTGATCCAGAACTCACCCCCTTCCCTCACACTATTATGGTCGGAAAAGAGTACCCATATTTAGTAATCTATCGCGAACTGCGATGCAGAAGATATTAATAGCAAACTAATCTGGAACTGGTCTAAGACATATGACCCAGTGAGTATTGACACCTCACACTGTTGTGAATGAGCACGGACGCGAGATTTACTAGAGTATTAAATGCAAAACGCAAATTCAAAATAAAACTTGACAAGTCATCGTCAATCCCCTTATTCTTGGGCAGGGTCTGACGATGTGAATCTGATTTTGATCAGTGAACGGGCCCCATATGGTACATTTTCTCACTATGAACATGTCATTTCCAGCCTATCTGAACTATTTAATAAATGGAAGCCATAACATGGGTTACGCTTCCCCTGAGCGGGCCCTCCGCATCCTATCTCTGTCTTATCTCAAATGCCAATGGTTTGAATGTATCAATATATACATTGGAAATGACGTTCAATCAAATAAACCCATACCCCACTCACTTGGCCAGGCTTCAGAATCGTCCAGTGGGCAGTGCGCTCTACACTCCAAGTTCCCTTTCTTTCAAATTCAACCCAAATTTGATATTTTACCCCTTTGAGTGTTGATTAATCACAATGAAACATTGTGACAGAGCACGGACTTGAGGTTACTAGAGTATTAAATAATCTAGGTCCTATTTAGGATTATATCTGAAAAATCCAAATTTGGCCAACGCCCACCGCGTATCCCTGTATATACCTCAAAACACAGATCAGTTGGAAATTTCTCCCGGATGATGCGTTTAATTTTCCCTTATTTCCCCAGTACTTTATCCAGCTCGTTGTCGGGTACCTCTGGTGGCAAGTCATACACACGCACATATTTAATGAATTCACCAGCATGCGACATGCGTACCTATGCCGTCGTTCCATTCGCATAATGGAAGATTAAATCCTCCGAATTGAATGTCATACCCCGTTCACATTACAGCGTATATCACGTGATATACGCTGTCTTGCATTGAGCACTTATACATCTAGTTTTCACTGTAAATCCTATGTATGAGTGCTCATTGCAAGACAGCCTATATTACGTGATAAGGCTGTAATGTGAACGGCGTATCAGAGCATGGAGCATCGCTTCCTCTGATTTGAACTTTATTCCCTTTCCTCACCAATGCGATAAACAGCTTCCATTTCAGCCGGATCCGCGTCGAGTGCTTTGGCGAAATTTACAATCTCTCCGATGTTTGTTTTAGCATCACAATAGCTGAAGCTAAACTTGATGGTGTTTTTTACTTCACACATCTTGCACCGTAGCAACAAAAGGCACCGAACTGCTTGCAACTGCAACGAACAACCTATATATTTTGCGCATTTCACACCAAATAAGCGCGTTTTCACTTATTAAAAAAGTTTGATAAAATTGCAAGTTTACGTCTAATCGTCTTGGTGTCTTGGGTGCACTTATTCCTTATGATGCAAGCAATAAGTGCTCCGAAGACATCAAAACGATTTGACGGAAACGTGCACTTTTATCACACTTTTTGCATTTTTGGGACAGTCCAGTTTCAGATGCAATCAGCAATAATAGCGAGTCTCGAAAACAGGCTATCGCGTGGTTCACAACGAAATAAAAAATCGACTGCTGCTGTAGACAGCTGTGGGACAACTGACGATTGCTTTTATTGACAATAATCGTATTGTCAATACATTCTATATTGACGTCAATACATCGATATTGACAGTATTTCTCTATTCACATCATCAATATCATCGTCAATAATTCCCCTTCGCGTCAATATATTGATACGTGTGGGGTTCGCCAAATGTAATTTAATGTATTGACAATACGATTATTGTCAATAAAAGCAATCGTGTAGGGTCCACTATAGGATGAATACAGAAATATTGTCAATACCTATGTATTGACGTCAATACAGAATGTGTAGGGTCAACTTTACAGTCGTTCGGTTACTGCCTCCTGTCAAATTTCATCGATGAATTCAAAAATCAGCTGATCAGAAACGTCTTGTAAAATGCTCTAGGGTAAATGCACCAAAAGTGGAGGTACATTAGTGCAATGTGTTCCTAAAGTGGCTTATGAAGTCTCCAGTCTCCATAAGCCACTATAGCAACACATTGCACTAACGTACCTCGAGTATTGGTGCGTTTACCCTATAGAAAATATTCTCCTTGTCTTACCACATCCAATTCCGTTGTCTTTTCTGAAAGTTTGGTTTTCATATCGGTGTAAGCTGTAAATAAAGAAAAAAATAGTATTACTGGTTGTAACTAAAAATGAATTGTTAAAAAAAATGCAAAAAGTGTGACTCAAGTGCAAGTTTACATCAAATCCTTTTATTGTCTTCGGAATACTTATTTCTTACTTCATAAGGAATAAGTGCACCGAAGACGACAAAACGGTTTTATGTAAACGTGCACTTATATCACACTTTAAATATGTGAAATCAAGCTTATTTGTCTAGTTTGGTGTGAAACGTGCAATATTTACTGTTCAGCTACAAATCTTCTTATTGTTAACCGAAGCAATGATCCCCACATGTCACATATGAAGATTTTTTTTAAATTATCGGATAAAATGGGTGAAATGTTGCCCAAAGATAGAGTTCGTCGAGAGCTCTCAATTTCAGGGCTGTTACAACAAGCGCTGATTTCACGATTTTCGCGGATTTATCGCGGATTTGAACTTTCAGTCGTGGAAATTGCGGAAACATTAAATGATGTCGCGAAGGGACTGATGTGCTGTCACAAAAATTGTGGAATTCATTGTAATCTTTCCGTTCCGGATTATTTTGCTGTCATCAATTTTGTTGTTCATTTGGCTCTCAATTTTTTACCTGTTCAAATCAAACACCCTGCAAATAATCGAGAAATGATCTCAATTCCATAAGTCACACCGGATTTACACGGAATTTCCATGGGGTCTGTCCAATGTGCGATATTTCCATGTTTCTTTTTATTTTCAATATGAACATAGCATTTTTCGCTGTCAAAATTATAAACGAATCGTATATATGCGAGTAATTGTCATGTATACCGGATATTCTAGGTTCTCCAAATCGTCCTGGAGTTTAGTTGATTTGTTCTACTATATCAACCAAGACTGCAATAATGTCTGTAGTATCGAAATATGTCCAAACAGATTCAAAGTGTCTATGTGGATTGTGCCCGACCTATTGTTACTTATACAAGATGTTATAGGTTCTGAAATCATTCTGGAGATCAGATTATTTTGCCACTAGATCACCCATGACTAATTCAATATCTTTAGTATCGAAATATGTCCAAACAAATTTGCAGTGTCTATGTGGATCATGCCAACCTATTTCCGTGTATGCCAAATGTGCTAGGATTTTCAAATCGATATTTCGATACTACAGATATTATCTCAGTTTTTGTTGATCTAGTAAAACAAATCATCTGAACTGTAGGACGATTTGGAGAACCTAGATCATCTGGTATACGTGAAAATAAATCATACATTATCTATGTAGACACTGTGCATCTGTCTGGAATTATTTCGATACTAAAGACATTGTCCCAATCTCGGTTGATCTAGTAGATCAAATTATCTGAACTCCAAGACGATTTGAAGAACCTTGAACATCTGGATTGCTCGGAAATAGATCATGCATGATCCACATAGACACTTTGAACCTAATTGGACAATTTTCGATACTACAGACATTATTGCAGTCTTGGTTGATCTAGTAGAACAAATCAACTGATGTCCTGGACGATTTAGAAAACCTATAATTTCCGGTATACATAGTAATAAGTCGCGCATGATCCACAAAGTCACATATAGGAGAAATGTATGTAATGTCGGTCTAAGTGTCCTTAATTTGGGCCCATACATAAATTCAGCAATCGACTAAATTTTCAATAGTAACCAAAAATATCCATTAGTACCGTCCTACAGTGGGGCAGCGAAGCCATTCGCGTGGCCAAAACCTCTAGCGCCGTTGGTTTGCTTTCTACAGCGATACAATGTTCTACAAAGTTGCTCAATATTAAAAGCGCCATTTTTTGAAAGTTTCTTATTAGTTCATTTTTACGCCGCATAGGTGGCACTCGAGTCTATCTTTTGAACGGAGCATCCTATCTGAATGGTGTTTCCTGCAAAGTTGTGTAATTTGAAGTGTTGAGAAATGTTGTCGAAGACATTGAAACTCTATGACTCATATTAAGCGAGATATCGGGCAATTAGGAAAACTAACCTCTAAAATTGAGTTTTCCCCTTTTTTCACCCATATACGTCAAATGTATAAGTTTTTTACTCTGCTAATTATCAAAATGGTTGGACTCATCCAATAAATACCCATTATTTTATATATGATGCTTTATTAAAAAGTTATTAACATAAATGTCTCAAAAAAGTGATGCATAAAAATGTCTATTACTCAAAATATAGCAAAAAGTGGCAGCCAATTTTTTTACAGTGATTAGTGTAGACCTTGTTGAGTAATATAACGACCACAAATCAACAGGCAACTGCAGGCATTTTCATATAACATCGTTTGAATATTGTATATTGTTAATTCTTTCAAATTTGTTGACACTTTGCTATAGGTGATAGATTGTTTAATAAGCTCCGATTTATATTTGTTCGAGGTAAATTGTGGACTGTAAACTGCACTATTCATTTTTAAATCGATTATTAACGGTATTAATTTTTTTCTACGAAGCACACAAGTATCATTTTTGTCAATTTTCATCGCTTTCCTAATATTTTCAAAAACGTGATTGTCACGAACGTCCCACGGGCATGTTTTTTTTTATTTAAGCAACTCAAAAATTTGTACACGCGTAAGCTGATACATTGTTGACATTTGAAACTTTGTGTTTTTTTTTGTTATGTTGGCAGTGCTAGTCACCGCGGTACAGTTGGCAACTGGCGAAGTTAAAGAGATCTCCAAGCGCAATCTCACGAACACTAAAATCCAACATCCATTTATTAAAATGAAGAAGAAACAAAAACGTACGGCGATATCACAACTACTTAAAAAGGTAGCACGCGGTATCACGCACACTTTTGTGCATCTGGAGAACTCTATTTGATTCAATGCACGGAAAAAATTAAGAACCTAAACTCATCAGGAATTCATCCATGCAAGAAGTCATGTTGCATAACTGAAGTACAACTTAACAATTTGAAAGTAGACAAAATGCTCAGTGAGAACCGCAGTTGGATTAAAAATCATAATAAGAATTATAATTTGTATTTCTGATTGTGTGTAATCTATTCATCTATAACATCTTATCATGTTTTACACACAAAGCAAAATTTCAACAAATTTGAAAGAATTTACCATATGCAATATTCAAATGATGTTATGTAAAAATGCCTGTTGTTGCCTGTTGATTTATGGTCGTTATTTTACGCAACAAGGTCTACACTGATCACTGTAAAAAAATTGGCTGCTACTTTTTGCTATATTTTGAGTAATCAACATTTTTATGCATCACTTTGTTGAGACATTTATGTTAATAACTTTATAATAAAGCATGATATATAAAACAATTGGTATTTATTGGATGAGTCAAACCATTTTATTAATTAGCAGAGTAAAAAACTTATACATTTGACGTATATAGGTGAAAAAAGGGAAAAACTCCATTTTAGAGGTTAGTTTTCCTAATTTCCCGATATCTCGCTTAATATGAGTCATAGAGTTTCGATGTCTTCGACAACATTTCTCAACACTTCAAATTACCCAACTTTGCACGAAACACCATTCAGCTAGGATGCTCCGTTCAAAAGATAGACTCGAGCGCCACCTATGCGGTGTAAAAATGAACTAATATTAAAGTTTCAAAATATGGAGCTTATAATATTGAGCAACTTTGTACAACATTGTATCGCTGTAGAAAGCAAATCAACGGCGCTAGAGGTTTTGGCCACGCGAATGGCTTCGCTGCCCCACTGTGCGCCGGGGTCGCCCCATAACTGAAAATGATACATCGTTATTTTTTTTCAAAGTTTACAAACGATACTCCTTTAGCTCAGTCGGTAAAGGCGCAGCTACAAAGCAAGTCAGTCAATGCTGGAGGCGTCTGAGTTCGAATCCCGTCCGGTCTATTAATTTTTCGGGTTGGAAAATTTCTCTACTTCCTTGGGCATAGGATGGTACAGGCATAGAAAGCTCTCAACTAAAATGTGAAAGTACTTCAAAGAACAGTAATTTGAGAGCAGGCAAAAATCTAATATGCTATAAGCAATAAGCTTGAAATGCCATGTAGTCTAGGGGAAGTACAACTTGATCTGGAGTAATATTTAGTGTAAAAATTGCTCATATTGGTAGTTATTATAGTTTTTAGTATAAATATTAATGATAATTGTCAAGCGGAAAGCTACAAAGTAAATCAAATTAACAGTGTAGCTTTAACGCACACACTCAATGACGTTTCACCGTTGTTGTTTATGTTTGCTGCAGCTTTCTGTTTCATCATTCTTGCCTAGATTTTCGTTTTCGGCTTCGGCACTGGACTAGGCAAGTTTCCCCAGCAGCAAATCTCTCCAAATTGCAGGCTCATAGTGAATCGAGCGTAATACGACCACGGAACCATCACTCTATTATTTTGAAAACATCTGGCACAAACCGAATAAAAAGTCTGGCAAAAATCTGGTACAGCAAATTAACATATGGAATCTGCCAGATTTCTCAAAAAATCTGTCCGGTAGAGCTGAAGTTTCTTTAGCTGTACCGGATAAATCTGGGAACCTGGCAACGCTGACCCTGGGACTACGTTTACAGGGGCGGCGTAGTAAGTCGATTCCAGTTTCTATAGGACGACAGCACATTGGTTTGCAGACGAAGAAGAATTCGTGGAAATTATTGACTATTTCCTGGGAATGTGCACTGAGATCAGCTACCAAAGAATGCCGAATTTATGAGAACAAGAAGCGGATTTCTGTGGAGGTGGCCAGCATGATCATCACACTTGTCTCTCGTGTGAAATCCATTTTTGATCAAACGAATGTCAAATGTACACTTAAAACCAAAAATTGTCAAACACAAAAAAACAACTGTCAGACTAAGTGTAAGATACGTAAATATCAAACATATTGAAATATTTAATTATTGATGCTGATACTTGGAGCTGTCCTTCCCCTAGCATGTAGTAGTATACAAATAGTATTTTTAGGCATGGAAATAGTTTTTTTTATAACTTTATAACTTTGGAAGTGCATATAACGGGTGTTCAATAAAAATGAGTATTTTGTCAGGGTAGTGAGCTACTTCGGCCTAATCGCCTATTTTGGGCCTATTGAGCAGAAAATATCAAATAAATCCATGATTTCAGAGTTAAAAAGTCAATTCAAGAACAACATGTGAAAAGGGCATACAAGCTTTTTGTAAACAAACATTCTAATGCCCTTTTCTCGCCACCCATATGACACCAACGCAAACCATCAACATCACCAGATAAGGGAAGCTTTCCCCTTCCCGATGATGTTATTAGTTTGTGTGGGCGACCCTCGGTTGGCGAGAAGAGGGCCTACAAAGGTTTGTTTACAAAAAGCTTGTATGCCCTTTTCACATGTGGCTCTTGAATTATGCGATTGGTACGATACTTTATTTAATAAGCTACGGAAGGAAGTCAATGAGAACGCGTGATATGAAGGTTTGCACCCATTATTCCCAAAAAAACAAAAGAAGCGCTCCGACCGAATCAATTTTTATCTTCATCCGATAGGCCGAAGTGAATTCATTGGCGTTTCAATGCGTTAGGCCGAGTTTAGAATCCGTAGGCCGAGTTTGGCGTCAAGAAGAAGTGTTAGACTTTTGATAATATCTCAACGATTGGTTTATCTTTATCAAATCTTACGGTACATACGGAAAAGTAAATAAATTTGGAAGCCATCAGTAATAATAACATTCCGTTTGGTGCTAAACTGCGCTAGATTAAGAAAGACTAAGTGCGGGTTGTGCTTAATAGGCCGGAAATGGGGTAGTTAACCCTATAGCTAGTAAAAAAAATGTTTCAACAGATTCAGTATTTTTTATTAAAAACATAATGTTTATTCTTCAAAAAAAAACTTCAATGAATATTGGAAAAGGGGCCCTGGTCAGCCGTACGACGCAACTTAGTCGCGATGCTCTCACAATACCGCTGGACGGCACTGAAATCATTCTCATTTTTTATTGAACACCCGTTAAAACACATTCTTAACTCAAGCATCGTAGAAAGAACGATTTATAGTGAAATGATAAGGAAATTATGGCAGCAATCCATGAAAATATAATCTGAAAAATCAGTGGCGTCACGTAGCCTCATTTTTTACCTGCACACCAACTTTGAAAACCTACACAGTTCGGAAAAGTAGTGTAAATTTCTGTTCAATATGATGCAAATAAATGGAGCGTCACATATCATATACGTTTACATTATATATCATGTAAAGTTCAAACACATATCATGCAATGTAGCAAATATTGTATACAAAAGCTCATCTTTGTAAACAACATTGTTTGCAAGTTGCTCGGCTGCGTGAAATGAAATACAAGTCTACGTGAATAAATGTTTACATCACAATTAAAATTCAGAATTTTTATCTGTGTATGTTGTGGCCATTTTCACTCGAATTTGTAGTGAAATTAAGTGAATACTAAAGTTTTACTGATTCTCTGCATTTTGCCACCGATTCGAGCAAAATGGCCATGAATCAGGTTTTCAAAATTGGTGCACAGGTAAAAAATGAGGTTATGTGATGCCACTGTGCAGTGGGGCGACCCCATACAAAAACCGGTCGTAATGATTTGTTTTTTGTTTAAAATCGTAACCAACATACCTTTTAAGTAAGTTGATGCTCCTGATTCCACATTTTGTTAGAATAATGGCTGTATATAGACCTTTGGCCAGCTTTAAACATCTAAATCTGGTGATTTTAATCAACTGAAAGCTTGACAGTTATATAAACTTTCAGCTTTTTAAGGAATTAAATAACAGTCTTTTTCATGGACCCCATCCTGATTTTTTTGATTTTTTTTTCATTCATATGATTATAAACTCTACTTGGGGGCAACATTTAACAAAATTCTAAGACAATTCGGCCCAAACCTGTCCAAAAATTGTCGAAAATCCCCATATGGCAGCTATGGAAGCTCAGTTGAACTGGACGAAGGTAACATCTTACCTGTAACAATTTTTCCAAACACTTTCTCGAGATGTCGGTTATCCTTTTCCAGCTAAAATGCACAAATATCATCTTTATGTTTCATCCATAATTTATACAATAATATCATACTTCTTTAATCCTAGTGAGATCAGCTCGCCGTTGCTGTTGATGCAGAGTAGGTTTCGGCTTGCTGTCGGGTTTCGCTGGCTCGTTGCTATTTTTTGGGTCATTTTTCTGAGTAGCATTCGGCTTATTCGCTACGTTCAAGTCAAGGTTTACTTTAAGATTAAGATTAAATCTGGAAACTATGCAGAGTGGTTGTAATTTTTCGTAATCTTTTCAAAAACAAATATAGATACATACCAATGGGGTTGACTGCTGTTCGCAATGCTCGCGAAATCCACTTGGCATAACGTTGCTGCTTTTTATCATCACAGTTGACCTTTATCGAAAATTACAATCAGTTGTAAAACTTTCTCAGTTGTAAAACCACAAAAACCCAACTCACAAACCTTCACCGATACGCCCTTTTCCCGGTCGGCATCAGCCTTAACGCCGCTGCTTTTCCCAACCGCTTTTCCAGTTGATTCATCTTTTCCCGCCCCTTCTTCTCGATCACAATCCTCGGCTGAAGCTGGAATGTCGTCCGATGCTTCGTCATCCGGTTCGTCTACGTCGAGATTTTCACACTGCTCATCATCATCGTCATCGTCGTCGGCGAGAAAGATTTCCGGCATTTCCATCACCTCGGCGCAGATCGTTTCCATCCGAGCGAATATCGCATTACGAGCCATTGTTTGATGGGAATTATCAGCAAATATTACCTTAAGTTAGGACGGTTTTTACACAGATTTGCGTCTGGATGCAGCCGGAAAAATGTATACAGTTGGTAAAAATAGCCCTGCATCGAACTCGAAGGGAGCATGCGCACCATGTTGAGCATGATTACTGGTAGAATGGGTGATTATGGTAATGAACCACTTAGCTTTCTCATAGATGGCGCTGTTTCCGTGGTTACTGGCCACCCAAATCCCCTAGTAAAAATTTAGAAAAATGGAAATAATATATACCTTATTACGGTGCTTTTCCTTTTAATTCTACTACTATTGTATCATTTTCGCTTTCACTATTCACTTTCACTATTTACATTCACTTTGCAAAGTTTGCAAGTAGTAAACGAAATACGTATTAGCTATAGTTTTTTTCAAGTGATAGTTAAAGTAAATAGTTAAAGTGAATAGTGAAAGTGAAAGTGATTCAATAGTAGTAGAATTAAAAGGAAAAAAAAACAACGTAATAAGGGTTACAATTATTCTACTAAAACGCTCATCAATCAATGTAGGTAATAATATGCTTTCAACACAAACCTGTACCAACCGATGGAAACTAACGATTTTAAATTGGCTCACTACTTGACTAGCATATTGGTCACAAGTTAATCTATTAGCGGACCCCATTCTAGTTGAAATTCTAGTACTATGTTTGTTTTGATTCGCTATGAAAGTTTGACAGATAAAATGAGGGGTTCGTGGATTTTCCTATGTTTCGAGGGGTGCATCGATTAGCTTAGGACCGAAGAGAGTACCAGAGCTGAGCCAAAAAGTTGAGCACGTTTCTTCGGGACCTTCTGGTCTTAGAGATACCTCTATGTCTGTACTGCCGCTCTTTGCATGTCCGTCCCATAGCGAAATTCAGCAAATCAAGAAAATCGCGTTTAAGTTTGCTTCATATCATTGCTTCTTATGTGATGGGACAACATATTTGACTGTCTTTCCAAACTTTTTCAGAACAAAGTTTTTGAGTTCATCCAGTATTATTATATTATTTAGAAAACGGGCGGTTTTAATTTCGCTGTCACAAATTCCGTATTTTCCGCGTGCTTTTTGGCTTGTACTAAGGCAAAAAGTAATTCGTTTTTATTATTATCATGTGTATATAGATTCATTATGATTAATTTATCAGTGTTTTAATATTGTGAATTATTGTGAAAATTCCCGGGCTAGAATTTTGTTTGAATAGTTGTGTTGCTGTAGCGTCGTGCTAGTGTGTTCCGGTGCTACGCCTCCACTTCCGGAAGCATTGGCGTTCTGCCCCTAGACAAAAACCGGGAAAGATGAATTTGCAGATTAGACTACGATGCTTCCACGTCGAGGACACAATACATAAGCGGTGAGATCTAACTGATTACAACTAGATATAAAAATATGAAATGCATCCTACTAAATACGTGCCATCTACAAAGCAGGAATTGCTTTGATGATGGAAGTGTACACGCAGTACCAATATACATTTTATATCGGTACTACGTGTATGCGGGGCTTGCTGTAAGTGAAAGTAACCTCGGAATGGACGTGAGTGACCAGACATTCTGAAATGGGTTACTGAATCTCAACAGAGCTATCACCTTTCAACTTCCGGGCTAAAATTGTTTGCAATGAGATCAGTATAATAATGATAGATTATATTGCAAACATTTTTCTTCCATAAAAACACTGCCGGACAGTGGAAGTTGGATTGTATATACATACATACATACATACATACAGTATTATTATATTATTTAGTAATATTATTACTAATATTATTATAATATTATTTCAAACACCTTCAAGTGATCAGAGATTTCCAAAAAATCTCAGAATATTTGTTCAAGGTTTCAGCTGGATCATGTATAATTTTGAAGATCTTCATCTGCCTAACATTTCAAATCACATCTCTCAGATATCCTCTCAAATATCAGGTTGCGCAGAAGTTATTTCAAAACCTCCAGCTGATCAGAAATCTCCAAAAGTTCTCAAATATTGTTCAAGGCGTCAGTTTGATCAGGTATCATTCGGAAGATCTTCAACTCCACAAACATTCAAATCATATCTATCAGATATCCTATCAAGATACCAGGTTGCTCATAAATTATTCCAAACGCCTTCAAGTGAACAGAGATCTCCACAAAATCCTCACGATATTTGTTTTAGACCTCAGCTTGATCAAGTATCATTCTGAAGATGAGCATGAGCATGAGCATGATTGACCGCCCACGGTTGCTACTGTTATTGCCAGACCAGCTGTAATTACACAGAGAACCAATAGACGATGCTTTGGACTAGTAATCATCCTCAATGTGAAAAAACTGGTGATCTAAAACTACCAGCGCCGGCCGCGCCCGAACACAGGTCAAGAAATTAAAGGGGTAGGAATGTGTTGACGTGACACTCGCTTTGATGGAAGCCGAGAACACCTCTGCACTTCCACGAGGAATCACTGGGATATTGGGTAATAGGATTGGGTTTGCAGCAGGGTTCGTCTTGGTAAACGATAATCTGAATTGATGTCCTAACAATCATATAACGCGAAGGAGCTTGGGATTGAACCCACGGTCTTCTACTCAGTAAGCAAAAACGTTTGCCACTAGGCAGACGAGCTCCTTTTTAATCATCGAGCTGCTGTTATTACCAACAATCAATACGAAACTAACGATTTTAAATTGGCTCACCACTTGACTAGCCTATTGGTCCCAAGCAAACGATTAACGTGCCCTATTCTAGTCGAAATTCTAGTACTACGCAATGTTTGTTTTGATTTGCTATGAAAGTTTGACAGATAAAATGAGGGGTTATTGGTTTTCCCAATGTTTCGAGGGGTGAATCGATTAGCTTGGGACCGAAGAGAGTACCAGAGCTGAGCCAAAAAGTTGAGCACGTTATTTCGGGACCTTCTAGTCTTAGAGTTACCTCTATGTTAGTACCATGTAGTCATGTTAACAAATAAAACGATTGACGAATCTTGAATGTGGATGGGCTTGAGATTAGACTCATGATGTTCTGCTCAGTAAGCAAAATCGGTTGCTCTAAGGCCACCGAGCCCCTCATATCATATTATAGCGTTACTCAAGTTTTTATAACTATTCAAAACCGGCACCGACGACAATGAAAAGTTTTACAAAATACACGATAAACAAGCGATCTTACCATACATTTTTAATATGAAAGGACCTGGGACCGCGTTTTTCTGCTCAGTAAGCAAGCCACTGCAACCGACGATCTTTGAAATCCTAAAACTAAAAGCTACGAAAGAATACTTGGGCCTTCATTAAGATCCACTTTCACGCGACGTTCAATGTTTCGATTTTCTCTTTGCGCATGGTTCAGGCAATCATAACAGTAAGTTACAAATTCGCTGTTGTCGTTGTCGTAGGCGCCGTCATAGTCGCTGTCGTAATAGCCGTCGTAGTCGTAGGCAGTACCGTTAGTATATTTAAAATTAACCATCAACCGCTGAAAATATGGATTATCGCGTATTTCTATTGTTCATTACATGCCAAGTGAAATTCGAGAACGTAATTTCATTTGAATAGCTTGTTTAACCAGGTCTTAAACAATCTTCACATCGGTCATAGCTAGGATAAACACCTTTGCCCGGCACCTCCACTCTTCATGTCCGCTATTTGTCACTGTTTTCAAAATATCTAATAACCTTTGTTGTAATACTTCCTGTATAGCCATGGTCATCTGGGATGAGGGTCGCATCTAGTGCTTTCCCTAGGAACCGTTCACGGCCACCAGTTACCGCCCGTCCAGTCTTGGGCGTATACAGCGAGACATCCTTCAGCTTACTCACAAACTCCGACACTCAATCACAACAAACTGTACCGAAATCAGAACAGCTAAACTACTCGATAAGTTTTTGGCATTTCTATTTAATTGTATTAAGCTATCTAACAGAGACCAGACGTCCAAGTTCGGTCAGAAACTTAAGCGGAAAGCGGAAACGTTGCCGTTACGTAGCGCTAGCATCTCCTGATTTCCTCTATAAATTTATCACTTTCGACTAATTTGGCGCTAGTATCGATAAATTATCTGCTGAAAATTGCCACTTGGCGCTACCAGCACTTAGTGTTTTAGTGTAAGTTTTGCAACGCCAGCGCCATCATGTTGTCAAAGAGGGTTTTTAAGTGGGGAAGTCGCCGTTAGTGGCGCTTAAGTCGAATAGGAATCTTTACACAAGTTTTTAGAGAAATTTTGGAGCCTCAACGTCTGTTCTCTGTGGATATCTTATATCGAAATCTTTTCAATAATTGCAACATGTGAATAATGCAGAACAAGTTTAAAATTGTTCTAGAGCCAAATTGGTTTTGAAGGAAGGTCAAACTATAAACGAACAGCTCAGCCGCTTTAAACCCTATAAAAATTATGCTTTCTCAATATGGTACATTATCTCACTATAAACCTGTAATTTCTAGCCTATCTGAACTATTTAATAAATGGAAGTCATAACATGGGTTACGCTCCTCCTAAGCGGGCCCTCCGCATCCTATCTCTGTCTTATCTCAAATGACAATGGCTTGAATGTATCAATATATACATTGGAAATGACGTTCAATCAAATAAACCCATACACCACTCACTTGGCCAGGCTTCAGAATCGTCCGCAGTGCGCTCTACACTCCAAGTTCCCTTTCTTTCAAATTTACCCTAAATTTTATATTTTACCCTTTTGAGTGTTGATTAATCACAATGAAACATTGTGACAGAGCACGGACTTGAGGTTACTAGAATATTAAATAATCTAGGTCCTATTTAGGATTATATATGAAAAATTCAAATTCGGCCAACGCCCACCTGATCAGGTATCATTCTGAAGATACCTAAAAATTCAAATCACATCTACCAGTTATTCTCTCAAATACCTGTTTGTTCAGAAATTATCCCAAAGGCCTCGAAGTGATCGTACATCTCCAAAAACTCCCCAGGAATTTTTTTAAAGACTACAGCTTGATCATTTATATTTATTATAAAGATCTTCATTTGCCCAACAAGTCAAATCACATCTCTCCGATATTCTCTCAAATAGTAGG